ACACACACACACACACACACACACACACACCTTAGTGACTTGGGAGTAATCAAGACATTACATTGTCTTTTTTTCCCCAAAGGCTATTGAAGTACTTCTCCAGTCTAAACAGCTTCTATATCTGATTTACCTACCAGCTTCTATATCTAAGTTACCCCTCACCTACCTTTCATAGTTCTAAACTTTCCTTTTTAAGATGACACAGGGGCTGATCTATAACCTAACACTCTGGAGGCTGAGACAAGAGGATAAATCCAAGGACAGTCTAGGCTATATAGTAATATCCTGTCTCAAAAAGCAAAAAGCAAGATTCCATAGGCTGAGGAGCTAAAATAATTACAATGATGTTACAAGATCTATTTTAATCTACTCAATAGCCTTCACAGGCTTCTGATTCTGTCAGAAGAAAAATCACAGTAAAACTACCACTAGTCACTTCAATTTACACTAAATTCATACAAGCCAGCCTAATTTAGTGAGTTCTCAGTACATATCAGTTACAAATCAGCTGCCATGGAGAATATACCTGTAATCTCAGTTTATCAGCAAGTGAGATTGAGGCTCTGACAGACATCATCTGGTCCAAGACAGATGTGAAGGCTTGAGCATGTAATACACTCAGGAGGTCCTAAGTAGGACTGAGGCCCAAGACAAGCCTGACCAAAAGAGATCCTGTCTGAAATACAACTAAAAATAAACAAGGGCTAGGGATGTGGTTCAAGTAAATGGTAGAGTGTATGCTTAGTAAGCAAAAGTCCCTGAAACCGCCAAAAAGTTATCTTATCATTTGATTTACTTAGTAATCTACAGCTATTTTAAATTACGTTACATAGCACTTTGTAGCAATGTATTTAGCCAGATGCTGGTGGCTCCCATCCATAATCCTACTCAGGAGATCGAGATTTGAGGATTGCAGTTCAAAGCTAGCCCAGGGAGTAAAGTCCATGAGACTCTTTATCACCAATTAAGCCAGAAGTGAAGCTGTGGTTTAAGTGGTAGTGAGCTAGCCTCAAGTGAAAAAGCACAGGGGCAGTACCCAGACCCTGAGTTCAAGCCCCAGGACTGGCACACACAAAAAAATTTTAAGTTGATGGCCATATTTTCATGCAGTCCCAAAATATCATATCAACTGTTGCTCCTCATTCAATAGCCAGTAGGTACAATATTTCACCAGAAACATGTGCTCCACTTTTAGTACTTTATATGTATAATACAGTAGCAACAGAGATGATAAAATAGAAAACAGGACCAGAGATTTAACTAATTAAAGTAAGCTCAGAGTGATTTTAATATGCCAATGGATGTTGATAAAACATATGTAACAAACAAGTGCAAACAGGATTTAGACCAAAATTAATGAGAAAGCAAAGAAACAATATTTTTTTCTTTTTTGACAACATTAGCCAATATCATTAGTCAAATGGCTAATACACATAAAATGTACTTAGTGAAGAACTTGCAAGAGTCATTTTGGCATTTTAAACAGCTATGTACAGTATTACCAAGGTCAGTTTATATATACAAATATTGAAGAGAAACCAGGTCAAACATTTAAAAACAGATTAACTATACATCAAGTATAAAACTTGGGCAGAGAAAAGAGACATTTTTTAAAAAAGAGTCAGGAAAGCACATTATCAGAAAAATTACAAAACTAGTAATAATTACACTATATTAATACATCATTCCAAAGGTGGGGGTGGGGTGCATTTTTTTCAATGCACTAGCTTCAAAGATAAAAAAAGCAAATAAGACAAATTAGCTGCTTTTATCAAGAGCAGCTACGTATTTCACATAATTGTTTCAAAAAGAAAGCCTATTAACAATGATGATTGTTTAATGCTACAATTTTACAGCAAAGACAAAACTAAAATAGCAGCAAATTCACAAGGCAATACTTCCATAGAATTGTATCACTCCATGGTTTATGCAATGCCTACAAAGTGCTCTCAGTTGAAGATACAAGTATAATTCACAATTAAAAAACAAAAAGATTGACACACAGGTGCTTCAGAGGCTGAGTAGTACTGAGTCTTAGCATTGTATGCTTATAATAAAGCCCTTGAATCCTTTCTACAAGTCACTACAGGAAAGATTCCTTTTATTGCAATGCAACACAAAGTATGCACAGCATACCACCACAGTGGTTAATCCTGCAACAGCTGATATAACATCCAACAGTGACTGACATCCTAAAGAAAAAGTCCAGCAAGATTGATTAGACAAAAGCCTGATATAGCAACTGTTGAAATACAGATTTCAACTGTAATTCTCAAAAAAGATACTAAAAGGCATTTTAGTAAAACCACTGATACCAATCAATAAAGTAATTGAAACGTGAATTCTAGCAGTGATTTCAACCTAGTTTCCTCTCGTCACAGTTTTTTGGGGAGGAGGGAAATGAGCAGTTCAGTATATAGTAAGGCTGACAGAGCGGTTCATTTTCTTTCCAATAAGTCGAGAGGTTCTATTACTCTGGGTGGTAGACCTCGTGGCCATCCGGTCAGTGAAGAGTACTCTTTCCTCAGCTGCAGCTTTTGCCATCTGAGCTTTCTTGAGTTCTCTGAGGACAAGAAACAAAGGATTTTTTACTTGTTTATCTACTATATTAATCCTAGGAAGAAATTCTAAGAGGCCAAATACAAACTGTGTTATCAATTGAGAAATATCCACCTACCATCATTATTCTAAGATATAAATGACAAAAGGAAAAATAACATGAAACTTTAATTTACACTCAACTTCGTTTTGTGCTTTTGTAATTACAATATCACATATGCTTTTTTTGGCGTGGGGGGGGGGGAGGAGAGAACCAGTTGTGGGGCCTGAACTCTGGGTCTGGGCGCTGTCCCTCAGCTCTTCACCTCAAGGCTACAGCTCTACCACTTGAGCCACATCACCACTTCCGGCTTTTTTTTTCTGCTTATGTGGTGCTGAGGAATCGAACCCAGGGGCTCATGCATGCAAGGCAAGTGCTCTACCACTGAGCCACCTTCCCAGCCCTCACATATGCTTTTATACCAAGTGAGATGAAAGGAAAATTTTCTTATTCTCAAAAGTATGATGGGTATCAAACTAGTATATAAACAGTCTAATATTTAGTATAAGATTTCTATAATTAAAATTTAATATAAAACCTTTTGAGTTACTTTAATTAGGCCAGAATCAATATGGTAGCAATAAATTAAAAGAATTAGAAATGACAGATGTGGTGGTACATGCTTGCAATCCCAGCTATTGGGCAGTGGAAATAGAAGGATTAAGAGATGAAAGACAACAAGACAACTGGGCACTGGTAGCTCACACCTGAAATCCTGGCTACTCAGGAGGCTGAGATCTGGGACTATGGTTTGAAGCCAGCCTAGGCAGAAAAGTTCATGAGACTCTTATCTCCAACTAACTACTCAGAAAAAGCCCGAAGTGGCACTGATTATTAAGTAGTAGAGTGCTAGCCTTGAGCACAAAGTGTCTCAGGGACAGTGCCTAGGCCCTGAGTTCAAGCCTCCAGACTGGCAAAAAAAAAAAAGCAAGATCTGTCTCAAAGCCAACATTGGTGGCTCACACCTATAATCCTAGCTATTCAGGAGGCTAAGATCTGAGGATCACAGTTAGAACCCAGCCCAGACAGGAAAGTCCATGAGATTCTTATCTCCAATTAATCACAGAAAAAGCCAGAAAGACATTATAGCTCAAGTGGTAGAGTGCTAACCTTTAGCAAAAGGAGTTCAGGGACAGTGCCCAGGCCCAGAGTTCAAGTCTCAGGTCTGTCAAAATAAATACATCAAATAATAAAAATAAATCAATCTCAAAAAAATAAATTGGGGGACCAGGAAGGTGGCTCAGGGGTAGAGTGCTTGCCTTGCATGCATGAGGCCCTGGGTTTGATTCTCAGCACCATATAAACAGAAAAAGCTGGAAGTGGTGCAGTGGCTCAAGTGGTAGAGCGCTAGCCTTGAGGTGAAGAGCTGAGGGACAGCGCCTAGGCCCAGAGTTCAAGCCCCACAATGGACAAAAAAATAAATAAACAAACAGGGGGGTGTGGCTCACTGGCAAAGCACATCAGGTATAGGGTTTGAGTCCCAGTCTCGGAGGGGAAGGGGAAAGGGAAAAGAGGGGTAAAGGGAAAATAAAGGAGGAAAGGAAAAGGAAAATTAAGCTATGTGGGATGCCAGTGGCCCACACCTGTATTTCTACCTACTCAGAAGGCCAATATCTGAATATCTCCATTCAAAGCCAAGTGGGCAGGCAAGTCCGTGAGATTCTTATCTCCAATTAATCACAAAAAAGCTGGAAGTGGAGCAGTGGCTCAAGTGGTAGACCACTAGACTTGAGCATCAAAGCTTAGGAACAGTATCTAGGTTCAAGCCCCAAGACAGGCACAATTTTTTATTTCAAATAAGGACAAATGGTGAGCAAATGCAGCAGGGGTACTCACTAGATGCTATATTGAAAATGAACTGTACATCTTAGGGATGTGAGGGAGAAACTGGGAAAGAGAGGGTATGGGTGATATTGCCCCAAAAGAAATATACTCTTTTACCTGACTTATATAACTAGCTTCGTACATCACTTTTACAATAACAAAAAAAAAAAAAATTTAACTAGCCAGGTGCTGGTGGCTCACACCTATAATGCTAGCTACTCAGGAGGCTGAGATTTGAGAATGGGGTTTGAAGGAGCCCAGGCAGAAAAGTACCCATGACTGTTATCTCTAATTAACCACTCAAAAACTGGAAGCGGTGCTGTGGCTCAAAGTTATAGAGTGCCAGTCTTGAGCAAAAGAGCTCAAGGACAGCATCCAGACCCTGAGTTTAAGCCCCACACTGCCAAAAATAATAAATAAATTATAAGCTGGGTATGGTAGTACATACCTCTCTACTCAAGAGGCAGAGGTAGGAGGATCACAATGTGAGACTGACCTGGGCAAAAATGAGACCTTATCTGAAAACAAAGCAAAAAAGCTATAGGTATGGTTCAAGTGGTAAAGAGTGGCCTAGCAAGTGTAAGGCCTTGAATTCAAATCTCTATACCAAAGGAAAAAAAAGTGATCTGTGGTTACTAATATCCATATTTCCCTTTTGATATCCTTTCACCAAATATGTAGAAAGGAATGTTGTAAGGGAAATATTTTTGTGAAAGGGTCTGAGGAACAACAAAACTGGAATAGGCTCTTGTAGCTTTTTCTCTTTTACGAAATGGAGAATATAAAAATTTGTAAACACACACTAGTCTTGTGTGTAACTACAAACCTTATTAACTACATAGACTTAATAGTTAAAACTTTCATTGTTTAACAACCTACCAAGCTACTACATGCTTCGTTGACAGAAAGCTTAAATAACTTTTTATTACATAAAACCTAAGAATGAAAAAGAAAAATACAAATGGTACTTACTTCTGCAAAAGTGAGTTTTTAAACTTTTCAGCATTCAATTCTATTCGTAACTGTTCTGCACTCTTTCTAGAAGCAGACAGCAATACAGAATGCTTCACCAGTGCCATTGCTGAAGGTCTTTTCTCAGGATCTGGATGAATCATAACCTTAGAAACAAAAGTAAAATTGAAATAGAAATGTACAACTTAACTTTGAACAGTGTCAATAAAGTGCTTCATATAAAAAATGCTTACTTTTAGCAACTCTGTAAATTCCTGGGAAAGCACTTGGGGAATCCGAGGTAATCGACCCTGTCTGATTTCATGCCATTGGTCTCCATTTCTGGGAAGAGGTTCAGCACCAGCAGCACATACTACTGTGAGGGCGAGGGCAAAAATATCTGCTTTTGGTAGGTGGGTATAGTTCTGAAAAAAAAGTTTTTTTGAAAATTTAATGACAATATTAAAATGGTCAAAATAAAGATTATATATCAATGGTAATCTAATTGAGGTGTTGGACCAAAAAAAAAAAAAAAAACGCTCTAATGTCACCATGTCTTCAGAGACCAAGCTAAATTGGAGATTTCTTTTTTTGTGTGCTGGTCCTAGAGCTTAAACTCAGGGTTTGGCCACTGTGCCTAACCTTTCTTGCTCAAGGCTCTACTTCCAGCATTTTGCTGGTTAATTGGAGGTAAGAGTCTTAGGGACTTTCCTGCTTAGGCTGCTTTAGCTTTTTTGATCAAGGCTATTGCTCTACACCTTGAGCCAAATTCTCTACTTCTGGTATTTTGATAGTTAGCTAGAGATAATAGTCTTTCAGATTAGTCTACAGAGGCTAGCTTTGAACCTTGATCTGAAGATCTCAGACTCCTAAGTAGCCAGAGTTATAGGTATGATCCACCAGTGCCTGGCCTGACATGATTTTTATTTTTAGTTTTGTCAGTTGTGAGGCTTGAACTCAGGGGCTGGGTGCTGCCCCTGAGCTTGTTTGCTGAAGGCTAGGGCTCTGCCACTTTGAGTAATAGTGTTATTTTTAGTTTTCTGGAGATAGGAGTTTCATGGACTTTCCTGCCAGGGCTGGCTTTGAACCACAATCCTCAGACCTCAGCTTCCTAAGTAGCTAGGATTACAGGCATGAGCCACCTTCACCCGGCTTCTGACGATTTTAAAATACTGAAAGACACTAATACTTTGATCTTCAAAAACACTATGAAATTTAAAAATTCTACCAGTAAAATACGGTCATACCTCTTTAACTATAACACTATTGCTATAATACTCTCAGATGTTTCCTATTTCTATTTCATTTGTTTTTAAAGTTTTGACAAAAGCTAATTTGTATTCTATCAACTAATAGGTATCACAAAGCAAATATTAATATTTAAGGAGAAAAATTACCTCCTGTAAAACTTCATTTGCAAGAAAACGGCTATCACCTTCTTCAACTTGTGGACTAGAAATTCTTGTTACATGCCCAAGATCACCTAGAACATTAAAAAAAAGGTATAGCCAAGAATTCAAGTATCTCTAAATTTTAACCTAATAATCCAGTTATCTGTCTTACCTATTTTAAACATAACTTTGTTGGATATCCACTCATCTTCATCTCCTTCTTCAGAAACAGCATTTGGGATTGAGGTTCGAGATATGAAAATATTACCTGTTAAAAAGTTAAGTAAGTAAGCTACACTAATAGTATGTATAATCAAAGCTTACAAGTAATATTAAACACCATGCAAGAAACTTTAAAAATTCAGATTCTTGGGCTGAGAATGTGGCTTAGTGGTGGAGTGCTTGCCTAGCATGCATTAAGCCCTCGGTTCAATTCCTCAAATCCACATAAGCAAAAAACCAGAAGTGGCACTGTGGCTCAAGTGGTAGATTGCTAGCCTTGAGCAAAACCAGCTCAGGGACAGTGCCCAAGCCCAAGCACCAGGACAGGCAAAAAATAAATAAAAATGCAGATTCTCATGTCCATTCCAACTAAATAAGGACCAGACTGTGTTTCCTTGGAATTTGTTTTCAAGATTAGCAGTGGCCTCTGAATATAAGAAATTCACTGTTAGACCTTTGTCACCTGCATACTACTCTCCACCAAATTATCAATAAACATGACAAAAATAACAGTCATTTGTGGTGGGTTTTTTTTTTTTTTTACTATTATGTTTTTGTTCTGGTCCTTGAATTCAGGATTTGGGCACTGTCCCTGAGCTTTTTTGCTCAGTCTTTTGGTCCCTGTACTATGTTAACTCAGTGATAGCTTCAATTTCTTTTTTTTTGGGTCGGTCATGGGGCTTGAACTCTGGGCCTGGGTGCTGTCCCTCAGCTCTTCAGCTCAAGGCAAGCGTTCTACCACTTGAGCCACAGCTTCACTTCCAGTTTTCTGGTGGTTAACAAGGTAAGAGTTTCACGAACTTTCCTCCCCAGCTGGCTTTGAACTGTGATCCTCAGATCTCAGCCTCCTGAGTAGCTAGGATTACAGGCATAAGACAACAGTGCCTGGCTAATTTAAAGATTTTTAAATGTCACATTCCTCTACATTTTTTATCCTTTGTATATTGTAATATAAGGTCTACTATATGTATCTTAACACTTTCTGCAACATAAAAATATAGTTAAGCCTTACTAATTCAGATTTATTGCCATTATTCCAAATATATTTTTTCCTTTTGAAACTATTAACTTCAGTGAGTTCCTTATAGATAGAAATTTTTACACAAAACTGAGAATATAAGATGAGTAAAATGACCTAAATTCTTATGAATCAACTCATTTCTATAGACTAAAAATTTAAAAACTGTAAAGCTCAGCTTACACCAGGTGTAGCTATTCAAGAGGCTGAAATTTGAGGATCGTGGTTCAAAGCCAGCCCAGGCAGGAATGTCCATGAGACTCTTATCTCCAATTAACCACCAGAAAATCCAAAGCAGAGCTGTGGCTCAAAGTAGTAGAGTACTTGAGCAACAGAGCTCATAGATAGTGCCCCAGCCCTGAGTTCAAGTCCCATGACTGAAGGAAAAAAAAAAAACAACACACACACACACACACAAACAAATCTCAACTGACAAACAAGCAAATAACCTAAAATGACTTGTCTGATTCCATTAACACTTCATTACAACTTTCTACTCATAGGAAATATAGGGAAGAAACAAGTTAAAGATACAAGGAAGCAGCCTTATTCTGCAAAACAAGTCTGTATCATTGGGAAAGAAAAAAACCTACAAAAGTATATATAACTAAATGCACTACGTGGTCCTAAAATAGATGCCAATTTTAACAAATCAACTGTGAAAGTCCTGTATCAAATGGTGAAAATTATAATATGGTCTGGCAGAGAAGAGTGAACAGGTTTTTAGTTTCCCCATCATACTTTCCCCATACTTTTACTAAAAGGTCTGGACTCTGTCTCTGAGCTTTTGTGTTCAAGGATAGTGCTTTACCACTTGAGCCATCACTCAACTTCCAGCTTTTTGGTGGTTAATTGGAGATAAGGGTTTCATGGACTTTCCTGCCTGGATTAGCTTTGAACTGAGCTCCTCAGATGTCAGCCTCCTGAGTAGCTAGGATTTACAGATGTGAGCCATGGATGCCTGGTAACAATGAAATAACATGTTTTCATATTGTCAAAATGATTTGTTTTCTACAACACCCAAAAAGCACAGGATCAAGAATCTGAAATACTTACTAGGTTTTATGTCCATGTGAACCAAAGACATTGAATGAATGTATCTCAAACCCCGACCAACTTGCAGAAGGAGATCTTTCAACTCTGCTTCTGTAAAGTAACTCATGATTCTGTAGTTTTCACTTATAGCATCAGCTAAACTTCCACCTACCAAAAATAACAAAAATCAACATTTTCTTCTTTTGGAAAGTTATTTTGCTCAAACAAGAAAGCAACATTCAGCGGAACCACTACTTTCTGCTGTGAAATGAAGGTGGTTTTTTGTTGTTGTTGTTTTATGGTTTTTTTTGTTTTTGTTTTTGACACCAGTACTGGGGGTTGGAGTCTGTGAGGCTATTATCTCCAATTAACCACAACAAAATCAGAAGTGGCACTGTGGCTCAAGTGGTAGAGCGCTCACCTTGAGCTGAAGAGCTCAGGGGCAGTGCCCATGCCCAGATTTCAAGATCCATGACCGACAAAAGAAAAAAACTTTCTAAACTCATACTTTGTCTCAACAGTAGGATTACTATTATTACTAGTTAGATCTTAAGAATAATAAAATCAGGCTGGATGTTGGTAGCTCATGCCTATAATCCTAGCTAGTCAGGAGGCTGAGATCTGAGGATCACAGTTCAAAGCCAGCCCAGGCAGGAAAGTCTGTGAGACTCTCCAATTAACCACCAGAAAACAAAAAAAGAGTAATAAAATCAGGGCAGGTAATATGGCTTAGTAGTAGAGTGTTTGGCCTAGCATGCTGGTAGCCCTGGGTACAATCCCTCAGTACCAAATAAAGAGAAAAGGCCGGAAGTGGTGCTAAAGTGATAGAGTGCTAGTTGAGCAAAAGAAGTTCAGTGACAGTGCCCAGGCCCCGAGTTCAAGCTTCAGGACTGGCAAAAAAAATAAAATAAAGGTCAAACAATATTTAGTCAGGAAAGGAGGTCCTACAACTTGGAAACTAAATAATGTAAAATGTATATTTAAAACAAAAATAGGTACAGCTGTGAAGCTGGGGGGGGGGGAAAGCTATGACTTATCATAGAGCATTAGTCTTGAGCAAAAAAAGCTAAGGGACAATGCCCAGGCCCTGACTTCCAGCATTAGGCCAACAAACACAAAACATAAAATATAAATTGTCCAACCTCAGATATTCTTTTGTCTTTTTTTTTTTTTT